TATATATATATATACACTTAGAACTTCCTTCAATACCATACCTCACTGGAAAAAAATATCTAAAAAGGTCAGTGCTATGAATCATTGCTGACATTTTTATATAGCTAGTGGAGATACTATGCAAAAACACATATTACATAAGTTTACTGTATATCCAACCACCAACTATTGTGTTTTATGAATTACTTAGATGCATTGTTTGTTGCTGTTAAACTATGTTAATGGGGTTCATTTAAAATAAGCTGCTAACTTTCTTTTCAGTTTCATTAATTTTGTAAATAACACCCAATCAGGAAAATAAAAAACTGTATTTTGATTGCACATGATTGGTTAATGGAAGTTAGCAGAACTTCACCTCATTCACTAAGCTAAGGGAAATTTCCCTTGTATAGTAAACAGCCCTTTTGCCTTTAGTAAATCAATTGCATTATGCCTATGGAAAACAATAGGGCTTGAATGTATAGTTTTAGATTAAACATTTATTTAATTGTTTAAATTAGATATAACAACCCAAACTACAGTTTTAAGCATTACGGGAAAATGGCTTGTTTCATTTTACTGTAATAAAGATGGGTACTTACCAAGGCTTTATATTGGAGTCCATAGGCTTGGAAAACACAGGGAATGAAATTTTGCTGGGTGCCACTGGGAAATCAGTGGTGTCACTGTAAAGAGAAGGTTCTGTGAGCATGAGATCAAGATGAGGGAGTGACATGATAAAAATGTAGTTGACAAAGGAAGAAAAAATAGAATTATGTCTGTAAAATTCCCCTTCTGCTCTCCTTGGTGCTGGATCTTTGCTGTAGGACTAAGCGTCTCCTGTAATCAACAGGTACAATTAGTGGCAATAAAGGCAGAGCCAGTCCGATACTGCCAGAACCAGTTGTGTGGCGGGTGGAATGAGATACAGGATTTGTGTCTAAATACAGCATATGAAATGGGTTTGCCAGTCTAATCAAATGTTGTCAAACTGCATTGAGACAAATCTTACTCAGCCAGATGTTTCCTCCCAGTAATTATATGTGCAAATGTAAATCCAGTTTCCTGATTTCTCTTTGTCATCATTTTGTTATAAGTGGCACTGAACATGAAATCTGACTATTAGAATCTGTCTGTTGCAGATTTTCTCTCACTCCCTGTCTGCTAAAACCTTTGTCACTGTGAAAGTAAGTGAGGAGAAATGTCTAGTAACTGAGCCCCGGTTAGGAGGAAATTTCCATCAGGAGTTCTAATCTTCCCTATGAAAAAAGTTTTGGCCAGGCTTAGACTTTAAATAAAAACTGTCAACCCTACTCCCCAATGTGCGCTAGATATCCTCTGGAATGGGTTTCTGGGTGTTCACAGCCATCTTTGCTTGTTCCCACCTCTCCTGTTACATATTCCCACATATACATCACAGTGTATATCAAGCCAGAAATGTTTATTCTAGTATTAGATGGGGTGGGGAAGGATTAGAACACCTGTAAGGTTATTGCTGTTATCTGGAGTTCTGTAACAGAGATTTATCCTTACTTCTTGTCAGCTGCGTGTTTACCGGAAGGCAAACAAGGCGTTTGCCTTGTGCGGCAATATTCAGGGGTGGCACCACCCCCTGGAAGAAGAAACACACGTGGCAGTAATAGAGACCTGGTGAGGCACTGCATGTGCTCCGCCATGGAATCCAAAGAGGCTGTGCACTGCTGAAGGGTGTACGCAGAGTTACCACACAAGGAAGACACTGGGCTTGGCTCCAGGGATGGCCGGTTGCTTGCTGGAGAAGTTAAGGTCAGTGCTTCAATAACTCTCTATCTTGGAGCCGGACTGGGGATGGGGGGGTTGTTTGGCGGAGGGTGGCAGTGGCAGAAGGGGGGTTGGGCTTGATGTTGGCAGAGGGTGGCTGCGGTGGCCAGGGAAGGGGGTGCTGGTGGTGGTAGGCACTCAATTTTAGTGTTGCTTAGGGCAGCACAAGAACTAAATAAACCACTGCTTTTTGTCCTGACAAATGTTTACCAGAGAGGAAGTGAGGAGAAATCTTCGACAGGAACACAGACAGAAATATCAATGCTTTTCTTTATTGAAGGAAGGCTAGACCCACATTTTTTATATTTGTGTGTCTCTGTTTCAGATTTTCACTGACTTTCTGTTTGGGAAAACATTGTCAGCAGGACAGGAAGTGGGAGTAATTCTCTTTCAGAGCCACTGCTGTCAATCACAACCCGTGAGCCAATGAGGAGAGAGCGGGAGTGGGATAGAGACGCGGCTCTATGTGTCTTATGGACGCACAGAGCAAGGCTCAGGAGCGAATATGCACCAGTGCCCCCATAGCAAGCGGCTTGCTATTGGGGCACTGGTCAAGGGGGAGGAGCCAGGAGCACCGGGACCCGAGAAGAAGAGGATCAGGCTGCTCTGTGCAAAATCACTGCACAGAGCAGGTAAGTATTACACGTTTGTTATTTATTTAACTCACAAACCCACAAATGTGTCAAGAACTTCCAACTTCCACCTTTTCATTTAGAACCAGAGATTTAAACAGCATGCACCCAAACTGCAGTTTTTCCATTTCCAATTAATTCGATTAGCTTTATAGGAAACCTGTCACAAACCACTGTAACATAAACTGAGCGTGCAATCAATAAAAGGTATGGAGAGAGTAAGGTAAAACCCCTTGACACAATCATCAGGAGATCCAGAGGTAATGATAGCTGAAGTTATGCAGAGATGTTCATTTCCTTGTAAATAATGATCTTTTTCCCACCCCTTCCAACCCTAGAAGCCCACCTATTGGTCATTGAGGGCACCCATCATATAAGACAACCAATAGGTAGACTTTTTTGGGAAAGGTCATGTAAATAGCAAAGGATAAATTATATATATTTGCTATATGCTCTGCACAAACTGTTGGCACTATAGAAATCCTGTAAATTATTAATGAATCTCACAGACAAGTGAGTGACGGAAAAAATTAAAGCAATTGTAAACCCTTACATATACCCAGTAAAATGACTGGCCTAAAGTGACACACAGAGATAAAATAAATCTTATATAAGTTGTACTTGTTTATCTGTAGCCATCTCTTCTATACATCCGTTCATCTGCTCAAAGCCAAAAATATATACAGCTTGTCTGAGCTTTCAGAAAACAGGGGTTAGGGAGCTGAAATTACACACTGCAGATCTGTGTGAGGAGAGATCTGAGAGCTGATTGGAGGGAAGGGACACACACCCCTTTACACAGCACACAGGAACAGAACTGAGGCTGTCAATCACAGGCTGTGTGCTGGAGCTCCCTCCCCTGTCAACTTTTTTTCTTTTGCTATCAGAGCAACTAATGCAGATAGCAGCAGAAGGAAGCAGCAGACAGAAATAACAATTAGTGCTCTGCATTGAGACAAGTACGCACTATAGAGGGATATGCTTTGTTCTTATTTAATGTCTGAGGTTTACAGACATCCATTCCAAGAGAATAAAAACCATATGCATTGTTACTGATATCTCACCTCTTTTTAAGCCCATTGTCCAAAGTCTTGTGTGTCCTGGGCGGTGTCCCTGGAGGAATGCGATCCTTGGCCAAAAGCGACACTCCCTCGTTTTTATTCATTGTTCTGCAATGAAGACATAATGTATACGTCCATGAATCAAATAAAAGTCCAATGCTTTTGAGAATGTATAAAAGACACTCTTGCATCACAACATTTAAAAAAAAAAATACAACATATTAAAATAAATAAAACGCCAATTATTTGCAATTCTCCAGGGAACCTATTAGGTTTTGTATATGTGTATGTGTATTATTTTAAAACAACCCCTTGCATTATGGAGCGCCTATAAGTATTATACAGGTACAGTATATACAGGTATTAGGTAACTAATGTAAACCTATACTGTGATGCATCTCTGCTATGTAACCAGCCTGGAAACAATTAGAAAGGAATGCCAAGTGTCATCTAAGAATGTGATTGTGAGACAATAGACACTGCAGAGGACAGGTTATGATGTACGACAATTACTGCAGTCCGGGATGGGAGCAGGCTGTAGTTTGTTGCTGTTGATGTGACAGTTTTCACGAAAGAATAATAGGAAAAAAAAAAACACACAATGAATTAGTCACTTGACAGAGAAGGGTGATGTAACAGCTGCACCAAAAAAAAACAACAATCCAGCTCTTTAGCTACACGCACAGTCAGAGTCGAACTTTAGTTATCACGTAACAAAATACATGGAGGGCATTTTTTTTTTTCTAGATTGGCAGGCTTTTTATCAGTCAGTAGTTTTTATAGATTCTTGAACAGAGTCTCTGAAATTTTGGTGATGGGTTACCTGACTTCACAGGTTTGCAGAGTTTATTATTCTTCTTTCTATTTTTGATAGTGAAGTACAGCCCATAGCATGATTTTGGACCCATAGAAATGCCAAACACATCCAAGTTGCATCCACGTTGCACTACATAATCGCACTGAAAATCAGACTGCAGCAGTGTGAACTGAGCTGATTCACACATGTGTGGTGCGGATTGGAGCTCAGGTTTCACAGCTAATTGATACAGTAGTTGTTCAGGTTTACATCAGGTTCGGGACAGGTCGATATCAGGATTTTGTCCTGTTCACACATATGTATTTAGAAATGGTTCACATAGAAGTCAATAGCCTGTAATCCGCACCTGAATTAGACCGCACTGCTCAGGAATTGGACATGACTATTTTTCAGTCCTCACTGAATCCACACTGCTAGTGCACTGGACATGTGTGAGTAGGCACCATAGGAAGCAATATTATTTCACATGCCATGTGGATTAGATGCAGTTCAAACTGCATCCAATCCGCATATACACTATATTGCCAAAAGTATTGGGACACCCCTCCAAATCATTGGTTTCAGGTGTTCCAATCACCTCCATGGCTACAGGTGTATAAAATCAAGCACCTAGGCATGCAGACTGCTTCTACAAACATTGGTGAAAGAATGGGTCAGTCTCAGGAGCTCAGTGAATTCAAGCGTTGTACCATGATAGGTTGTATCCTGTGCAATAAGTCCATCCATGAAATTTCCTTGCTACTAAATATTCTACAGTCAACTGTTAGTGGTATTATGACAAAGTGGAAGCAATTGGGAGCAACAGCAACTCAGCCACAAAGTGGTAGGCCACGTAAAATGACAGAGCGGGGTCAGCGCATGCTGAAGTTGACAGTGCTCAGAAGTCGCCAACTGTCTGCAGAGTCAATAGCTAAAGACCTCCAAAGATCATGTGGCCTTTAGGTTAGTACAACAACAGTGCGTAGAGAGCTTCATGGAATGGGTTTCCATGGCCGAGCAGCAGCATCCAAATCTTACATCATCAAGTGCAATGCAAAGCGTTGGATGCAGTGGAGACGTGTTCTCTGAAGTGACAAATCACACTTCTCCATCTGGCAATCTGATGGACGTGTCTGGGTTTGGTGGTTGCCAGGAGAATGGTACTGACTGCGTTGTGCCAAATGTAAAGTTTGGTGGAGGAGGGTTTATGGTGTGGGGTTGTTTTTCAGGGGTTAGGCTTGGCCCCTTAGTTCCAGTGAAGGAAACTCTTAAGGCATCAGCATAGCAAGACATTTTGGACAATTTCATGCCCACGACTTTGTGGGGAGAGTTTGGGGATGGTCCCATCCTGTTTCAACATGACTGCGCACCAGTGCACAAAGCAAGGTCCATAAAGACATGGATGAGCGAGTTTGGGGTGGAGAAACTTGACTTTTCCATGTAAAAAGATTTATGTAGGGAAAACAAAGAGGCAACTTAAAATACATATTGGAGAACATTTTAGAGATACTGTATAAGATCCAAAGAACCAGATAGTAACTTAGCAAATTTTTTGGAATTTCATGGCAGCAAGCTTGAAGGTGCAAAAATAAAGGGATTTTATGCTCTTAATTTTCTGAAAAGAAGAGGAGATTTTGATAGAGAATTGTTAAAACGTGAAAAGCAATGGATATATACGCTCCATACATTGAGCCCTAAAGGGTTAAAACGTTGAATTGAATCTCCAAATCTTTTTGAAAAGTTAAGACTACCCGGACTCATGAAACAGCATTTGGGTGGATTCAGGTACTTTGACAATACTAACAAAGTTGTGGAAAATACTTATTTTTTGTTTACTCTGTGTACCCTGTGGTTTCCCTGGATGTATATTGAGTAATATTATCTGACCAACTTGTATTAACTCCAATGGGTTTGCTTGACAGTGGAAGTTTGCACAAATATATAAAGGAATGCGATACTAAGTCGCCTATTGGTCCTTACTAAGCGGATTATGATACGGCCATCAGTGAAACGCTTTGGCGTCACACGTCAGTGACGTCACGGATGGCCTTGATCCATCGGGTATGCACATTGCACACGGGAGATACACGGAGGGCAGAGGAAGCAAGTGTGTCACCACATCGCGCTACTCATGGTGGCATGGTTTCCCATCGAGAATCGTTTATTGCAGTATGGACGAGCCTTCATACATCCCAGTATACTGGGATATGGTGAGTCCATACACCCTACTATTTATGTGCGACGTGGCACCTTCCTAAGGACAGACAGTCACAAACTCATTGGGTGAATATAACCCCTGCCGAGTATCCCCACAGCCAGCAGCTATGAGGGAACCCGAGCAGGCTCACTCCTGAGCTACTGCCATATGTATCTATTAACACACAGAGCCGTGGCTTGGCCCCTCTCCCTTTCTCTCCTTATTGGCTCACTGGCTGTGATTGATAGCAGCAGGAGACAATGGCTCCCGCTGCTGTCTCAGTCAATAAGGAGGGAGAGTCCCCAGAGAGCTGTGGCTCTCAAGCACATTGCTGGATCGTGATGGGGCTCAAGTGAGCATTAGGAGGGGGCTTCTGCACACAGAAGACTTTTTACCTTCATGCATAGAATGCACATAGGTAAAAAACCTTGAGCCTTTACAACCACTTTACGCTCCCCAGCCCCCTGCTTTTCAGAGCTGGAAGGTCCTGTGTTAATTCTGCACTTTGAATTGATGTTGGGAAAGTACAGCTATAGATAAACAGGTACAACTTATGTAGGAGGATTCATTTTTAATTTCTGTGTATCAACAGCCACTTTACTGGGTATATGTAAGGGTTTACAACCATTTTAAAGACCGGTCACTGCTTCTTTCTCTCCCTGTGTAGGGTGACTGGTCTTGTCTCCACCCCCTCCTGTAGTTTTCTGCAGGCAGCCTGTAGTGGGTGGTTCTGCTCGATCCCTCTCCCAACTCTGCTCTCGGCACATGTGAAGCACAACGATGATGTGACTACAACTTTTAAAAGTAATAACTGAGTTTGCAAAGGCAACTTGTGCATACTAATTGGGTTTGTATGCTTTGTGGTAAATAAGGAATATGTTAGCAGAGTACAGCTTTAAAGAAAGGGGTACTCTCTAAAGAAGAAGAAAGGAAGGTGCCCCTTTTATAACAGAATATGGGAAAGGATATGAAGGAAGTTATTAAAATCACAAGAAAGAACTGCCATGTTTTACAGAGTGATGACATTGTATACACAATTTTAACTGAATGACAAATGTTTATATATAGGATTAAGAACACAATTATTGATAGGCTTGTAAAAAGTTATGTAAGAGAGGAAAATATACTGAGATAATGGTTTCTGTTATTGTAAGACGTGTTGTGTTAATGGCAGGATAGAAGGGAAGGTAAGGAAGATATTTTGTTCAATAACCACTTGAAGCAAAGTTAGATAAAACAAAGTATAGCTTGTAATTCTGAATGAATCTTGTACCTTTTGGAGTGTAGTTGCCCATTACAGTATATTGGGAGAACACACCACTGGAATTATTTAGCTGTCATCGCACATCTCTAGGGATCGCTGCAATTGCTGCACCTCTCCCTCAATGCTTTGCTCCTGTATGCACATACACAAAACAATTCTAGCTTTGATGACCCTCTTATCCTTTACACAGTAGACATGTGCTTTTGTTTCATAATGAATCGATTTTTTAACAAAAATTTGATTTTTGGATGAATATGAATCTTTTAATGGACATAGTAACGAATGTCAATAAATCCAGAAAAGTTAAAATGAAAATAATGAAAGCATTCGATTTATTCAGATGACGTCACATGATGTGATAGTAGTTCGAGCCCATGGGGAAATGAATTCAATTTTTGAATACGTTCAATAATTTTGGATTCAAGTAAGTTTGTGATTTAAAGTGATATTGAAGGCATTTTAAAAAAATAATAATAAACATACTTACTTGCTCTGTCCAGTGGTTTGCACATAGCAGCCCGGATACTTCTTTTCTCAGGTCTCCTATCAGCGCTCCTGGCCCCTCTCTACTGCCAAGTGCCACCGGACCAAGCAGCTTGCTTTGGGGGCACCCAAGCAGGCTCCATCCAAGCCGGTGCTCTGCATATCCATTCACATACAAAGCTATGGTACGGTCCCACCCCCTCTTTCTCCTCATTGGCTTACTGGCTGTGATTGACAGCAGTGGGAGCCAATGGCTCCTGCTACTGTATCAGCCAATGAGGAGGAAGAATCCCCAGAGAGCTGATGCACTCGTGCATGTCACTGGAGCATGATGGGGCTCAGGTATGTATTTGGGGGGGCTGCTGCACACAGAAGGTTGAGAATTTACAACCACTTTAAATTGAATTTGTAATTTTCACAGTTAGTTAGTTCAGTTCCACAGTTTAATTCAATTCTTAGGTTTGCAAAAGTTGGGACCTTCTGAATTTTGCATTATTTATTCAGTTGCATCCAGAAATATGTAATCCTTCCAAATAGTTTTTTGATATATGAATAATGGATCCACCAGCTTTTGCCGGACAAATAGCTGTACATGTGGGCCACTAAAAAAACCAATAGTATCTGCTGTTTGTTGGACCACATGATTTTTAATAAATAAATTCTTCAGATTAGGTATGGACTCAAGGGTTGACTTTTTTGAGTATAAAGAATGAGATACTGGCATAGCATAGACTGGACATCCGGAGGAGAAGGAGTACTGGTAATAGTGCAATAGTGCTTGTAGACATCATACACCACATGAGATAAAACTGTTGTACTGTTGGAGATTGAAAGTATAGTGGATTAAAATGGTGAGATAAGGAACGGCATTACATTAGGGGGTTGATTTACTAAAGAGAGATAGGCTGTTCACTTTGCAAGGGAATTCTTTGGAAAGTGAATCTTCACTTCATTCACTAAGGGAAAATTCTCTTGCTAAGTATGTTCTTGCGGTGATTGACAAGCGTATTGAAACTGAATAAGACTTGATATTTGTGACTAATGTTTCTGGGTGAGCGCTGTAAGGGAACTGTTATGTTACATTAATTTCAGGTAAGGTGCACTGTGGGAGAAATTGCCGCAATCAAGCAATTCCCAGGAGATGTTGTGTGCTGTATATACTTTCTTTTTGTTGTATTTATAGCTATTTGGTATCAACCAAATCTTATGAGTGAGCAAAGCTTATATATAAAATCTGACGGGAAGGGGGGGGGGGGGGGGGGGAGCTAATGAATTTCACTAAAACACTTTGGGGTTGATTTACTAAAACTGAAGAGTGCAAAATCAGGTGCAGCTCTGCATGGTAGCCAATCAACTTTTAACTACAGCTTGTTCAATTGGCTTCTATGCGGATCTGCACCAAATTTTGCACTCTCCAGTTTTAATAAATCAACCCCTTTGTTTGCTATATCACTGAAAAACAATTACCTAATGTAAATATCTCTTTGTACAAAATACAAAAACAGCTGTTTTTCATGCATGGAAAGCTTTAATCATGCATTTTAGTATCCAAAACAGGTTTTATGTGTCATTGTTTTGATCCTTATTGTCATTCTGTCACTCTTGAATCTGATTGCCCCACTATGAGTAAGCAAAATTCAAATTTAAAGGTTCCTATGTATTTAGATGTCTGTATACGTTAATCCATTTAGTATCAGACTGAGAGCCATAGTTTCACTGTAGATGAAAACTGTCATTACTACTTGTCTATCGAATTTTAATGTCACTAACAAAATGTATTATTGACAGGATTGAAAATTTGGTCTCCATATGCAAACTAGGGTGGTAAATGAGAAGGATAATAATCAGTACTACTAAATTGTGTTAATAATTTTTTTAAAAAAGCCATAGTAATTTAAGGTTACGTTATTCTTTAGAATTCTTTACAAGCATAAAAATCTCTTATAACTGAGCATGTCCTACACAGGGTGCTTCCATAAGAATTCTGGGCGTTTTAGTAAGACGGTCAAGACATAGTTGCTCACTTGTGGACTGCTTGTCTCTAACTGATATTCCATACATTACTGAATAAACTGAGGACAAGGAAGGGTGCTTTCTTTCTTTGACACATGTAGCTGTTTTTATGTGTGTTC